CTGGCCAGCTTCTTCGCGCCTTCAACGAGCTGAAGGCGGCGCGCTTCTAACGTCTCTGCGTCAGCATCTTCCGGAATGGGCGCAGCTAGGTCTTGCAGCGCCGCGCTGAGTGAGTCGGGCGCCCCTCCGCAAGGGAACTCGTCATGACTGATGACCAGCACCTCAGTGACGGTGTTTCCGTCGCTCTCCGCGTGGGGGAGAGGTTCGTCGTAGGCCACCACGTTGGTGCGGAACGCGTCGACCGACGCGGTGTCGGAGTCGACCAGCATCGGGTCGGTGGAGCCTACGGACTCCAAGTCTACGGCAGGCTCGCCGAAAACGTGGAGTTGATCGACGAGGCCCGCAAGGAGGTTTTTGGGGCTGCCTGCGCCTGCGTCGGATGCAGGTTCGTCGGAGAGGTGGACCTCGCCGACAAGTTTGGCCAAGGAGCTGGCTGCGCAGGCGATCTCAACGCCGCGCAGCGCGTCGACGCAAACTTCGTCTGGCGTGCCTGGCGGGCTGCGCTCGCCAGGAAGGAAAAGGGTTCCCGTCCAGAATAGATCTCTGGACGGCGGTGCACCAGGCCCCACGGTGGGCGCCAAATGTCGGGGGTTTGGTGCAACATATGCCAACGGATGGCTTATCATGGTGGGGGCGAGTAGAACGTCGCCGGTGCCTGGAAACGGGGTGAGGCGAAGACATGCACGCCGGCGAATCTTACCCAGCTTCAGGGCTCTCCGGGGAGATAACACCCCTACTGCTGCTCTACGGGGTCTCCGCGTGATCACTATGGCCAAGTGTTTACAAGGTCGCTCCTTGAGCTGTTCGGGTGGTAGGAGAGTGCAAGGCCAGCTCTCTCCTTCTATCTGGTGTGGTTTAGAACTACCGGGATCCAACCCTTTGCTTGGGTTCCCTGGGGGGTCTATATAGGCCTACCCCCCAGGGGTACAATGGTAATTCGACTGGGCGCGGGCCCAGCCGTTAGTGCCTCTGACCTCTGACTTCTCCGCCGACTGCTGGGGCCCGCCGACTGGTGGGTCCCGCTGACTGGTCTGGTACGGAGCCGACAGGCCGCGTCCGCCGCGGGTGGGTCTTGCCGGCTGCTGATTACTGTAGCCGTGCTCCTGATGACGCAAGCTTGGTCATGGGGTCGTGGCAACAGCCCCGCCGCCTGGCGGGCGATCACTGTGGCCACTCCCCATCTCTTCTTGATTAATGGCGCGTGGGCCCCGGGGGAGGGCTCGGCCGACTCCCCCAGGCCGACTCCCGACGGGTCCGACTGGCGGTTTTCCCGCCGACTCCCGAGGTCTCGCTGGCTGGTGGGCCTTGCTGCCTCCAGGCCGTACAGACAAGCCGTCGTGGGCGCAGGACCCGGTACAGTGGTGCTGATGTCAGGGCTGGCCGGGCAACAGTGTCACGCCGCAGGGAGATCTTCCCAAGTACAGCGTGTTGTAGCCATGCCTACCCTTGGTAAGGGGCGGGGAGTAGGCTTCATTGTAGCCACGCCCCTGCCCGTCCCCTTCGATGAGGTCACGGTTTGTTGGAGTCGCCGGCCGACTCCCCAAAGCCGGCTTCTCTGGAAGTCGCCCCTGGGACTCGGCCGCGAGCGGGCAGTCGGCCGCCTTGCCGTAGACTCCCCAGGAGGTGGCTCTTCGCCCTGTGGTCTTGAGGGGCGCAGCCTGCCCCGATGTCTTGAAAGGTTATGGGGCACGGGTTGGCCTACCCGTGGCCCATTACTCCGACATTATTGGACCAGGTATAACAACCACCCGTTATATAAATCTCTCTCAACCCAAGCAAGTGTATAACAGAGTTAAATACCTTCGAGAAGTGGGACATAGATGTTTTTTTTTGGTTTTCTCCCCACTATGTTGAATGATGTTAAAATCTCCCCCGACTAGATAAGGAATATTAATACTATGACACATGGATGACACTTCAGCGATGAACTCAGGTTTCTGCTCGTCATGTGCAGCACCATATACAGTCATCAAGGCCCAGCTACAGTTTTTGCTCTTATCGAACAAGTTCAACTGTAAGATGTATTTACCACACTTGGTCATAAGGATATCAAATTTTTCCTTATTAAGGCCACAAAGAATGCCACCGGATTTCCCCCTAGATGGATCCCATTCCCAATGAAATTTATGATTCAGGTCAATTTGTCTAAAAAAGGCAGGATTATAAGACTTCTTCATAGTTTCCTGAAGTCCAATAAAGTCTAATTCATTGGCATTAATCATGTCAATGAGGCAGATGGACATGCCTTTTTACCCACACCCCTACAATTTCAAAAAAACCCTTTCATTTATATCGTTCGGGTTTATCTCTCACTCTGGTAGGTCTGCCAGGTTCCATAGTAGCCCTACCCACCCCATTCTTCTGTTGACTTCTAGTCACAGGTCTAGTGGACTTATTAGGAGATAAAAACCACCACCGTTTTCCTGCGTTGATTTTTCTTTTTTCTTTAGATTGAACCAGGATAAATGGTTCCTCAATATCTCTACTATCGTCATCTCATGTTAAAGAGAGGGGCACATCATTACCCAACCCGTCATTAACGATATTTTTTTGTGAATTATTATCAATATTTTTGTCATGCAACAAATTTCTAGAGATTTCTAACTCACGCAAGATATCAACAGTAGCAAAGTCATCATCAGGGCAAAATGATATGCGCGTGGAACCATGGGCCAAGCTTGATGCGTCCCACCTACGAGCTCGTCGGAGCAAAATGATATCCAGACTGCTAAAACAGCGGACAGAATCCAACAAATGAAGCCAAGCGCATCAAAGCTTGGCCCACGTGGGCACGTCTGGGCTGCCGACCTGCCCGAAACTGATCGGTGGTTCAACTCGGATCGGAGAACCACCGCACACCCCATGTGCTACGGCCTGCGTAGATCGGCCGCTGGCTGCTGGTTGCATGCATGCGCCACTCGTGGAGCAACCAGTTTGGATTAACTAATCACTCACTGATGGGCCGCCAGTGGTTCTCGAGACGAGATCTGGCGCGCAAACCGATGCAGATTCAGATCTTCTGCCCCTGTAGGCGGCCATTATTGGCTCCCCGATGTTGCTTGCGTTTGCATTCTCCGGCACGGTCGGCTGGCCGCACGGCATGTGACGGCTCGACCTCTGGAGCGATCCGATCCAACCACCTTCCCAACAGATGAGGCCGTGCCGGCACGAGCAGCAGTACCAGTCAGCTGCACCTGCACCACCACCTCCCAGCAACCGAGATCGTAGTACGTGCCCGGCCGTTCCAAACGGGAACCGACCGAGCCGGGTGGCTAACCAGAGCTCGCCGGGGCCTGTGTCTGGTACGAAGCCGAATGATTATGGCATGGCATCATCGTGCGTGGGCGTGGTCACCACCAGCGGCAGCCAAGTCGAATGTACAGTACTAGCCACTTGCCAAAGAAAACAAAGGCGCGGCCAGCCGAACGTACGATACGATGGTACTCTCCTGTGTAATACAGTAGCGAAAAGAAAAAGATATGTGTGTCCGCTGTGAGTGTTCCGGGGGAGCGAGGAAAGGCGGGCGGGGCGGCCATTGCGCCGGTCCGGTCGGCGCCCTTTGGTGCATCGCTGCGGCGGGGGCAAAGGCACGCTGCGGCGGGCGTTGCCTCAATACCAGTTTATTACTCTCTTTTTTTGCGAGGGAGTTTTTTACTCCTCATATGAGATCTTCGGTGTTAGTCATATGAGATCGTCGACATTATTGCAGGATTAGACGGTGACCTATCGCGGGAGAGGACAGCCCCGAAAGAGATCCGAGCGAGGGAGAGGACAGCCACCACGTCATGCCCAGTGCTCGAATGTAGAAAAACAGGAGAAATTTATGAAGGGTCTACCTCGCGCTGTCGTGCAAACTCATTTTCCAAGTGCCATTGACAAAATTAGCCGTCCAGCAACGGCTAGCTCCGGCGGGAAATACGACCCCTGATTTCTCGTCTCCTTGTCCAAATATTTTTTAGAATTAGGAGTAGTTCAATCAGTCTTATATGTGTTTTCTTTATCTGGCACAGAGAGACTGTGTGCCAGACACTATGACGCGACATGTTTCCACGAGAGTTTCGTGAAAAATTCGATGTGTCTACATTACTTTATTGAGACGGCAAATCTGAATATGAATGGGTTGACAGTTTTTTTTTCTCACACTGGGGTTCAACGTCCGTCGGGAGCGAATTTTCGCAATCTCTATCAGATGGGGTTCTTTTATAAAAATATGCCCCGAGTGCTAGTGCCCAACAATCTCATTTAAAAAAATTCTAGTTGATTGAGATGATAATAGCTACACCTTGCAGACCGATTGTATTATACGGGTTGTATAGATACGTGCAGGAAAAATTCCCACGCATCTTGGCAGATGCTCTTGTTTTGCAGGTCAACCGTTCCCGCCAGAATTATCCGGTCCATCCAACTCACATCCAAGTATCTTTTATTTTATTCATTCAAGAATAAACGCCGGAGATTTGTCAGCTTATCGTTTTTAAAAAGTAAAGAAACATGAGGAACACTAGAAGCTTCTGATTATCCAATCAGCTTTCTTTTTTTCTCGACGTATTTAGGTTTGTCATGTCATTAGGTTAGGTCAACCTCCAATCGTGCAGGCACCATATCATTTTGAACATTTCCATCAACGATCATAATTCCGCATCTGCTGTTGAGTCTTACACTCGTTCATATTATACTACTAGCATACATTTCTACCAAAATAGGGGATACTTTAGCGGGTTTATTTCCTATTTCTTTCATAAAAAAGAAGTTATTCCAAGAAGAACATAAATATGAAACAATTTCTTCTACAATCCAGGGAGGGTTTTTTTTCCTTCAGATGATATTTGTTCTCTCTACATCATTAATACGAAGCAACACATTTTTCAGGTTTCTTCCCCACAGTTTTTTCTTCCTTCTTGCATCTAGAATATTTACATCCCCGTAGGTTAAAAAAAGGGTAAAGCTAAAGTTAGCCAATGGTAAAAAAAGAAAAGGCTAATCCATTCACTGATGACTGATCAAACGGCGGGCATGGTCTCCTGGCGAAGCACGTCGAGATCGGACGGCCCCAAGGACTCGTCGCCGAAGCCGAACAGGCCGGCGTCGAAGCCGTCGTCGCCCCACTCAGCAGCGGCCGCTGCGGTCGCCGCGGCGGCCTCCGACGAGTAGGCAACGCCGCCGAAGGCGTAGGCGCCCTCAATCTCGTCCTCGAAGCTCCATATCTGCTCCCCGAACACGCCGGCGGTCACCTCCGGCTCCCAGCCCTCGGCGTCGTCCGACGAGGAGGACGCCGCGGCCGCCGGCGGCAAGCCGAGCTCGTCGTCCGAGGCCTCGAGCAGGAAGCCTAGCTCTGGCTGAGGCGGCGTCAGGTCGTCGGCGCATATCTCCTCCTCAAGGCTCCGCATGACGGACGCCAGGTCGCCGGCCGCCGCGGCGTTGGTGTCGTCCTCGAGCAGGTCCAGTAGGTCCTCGGGCCTCATCCTCTTGGCGGCTTCCGCCTCAGCGGACGAGACAACTTCAAGGTCGGCACCCCTGGCCCTCTTGTTGCTGCCGGCGTACGAACTCAGCAACAGAGACGAGGAGGAGCTCTCCATGGCCGATGCACAGACTACGCTTGCTTCTCTTTCCCTTTGCTTCGGGTGCAACGGTCGTGGAGCGCGCAGGCATATAAGAGCATCTTCAGTCGCGCCCTCAAAAAGTTGCCCCTCGGGCGTTTTTTCGTCCACCGGCATCAAAAAATCGGTCCAGTCGCGCTTCCAAAAGACCAGTTTTCGCCGGCTCGAGCCAAAATTGACGCCGATGGACCCAACCCGAACCCGGCGCGCTGAGGGTCGCTCACGGGCGCCGGGCGAATCGTTTTTGGCGCGAAGAGCCGCGGGTCCGCCGCGTCAGCGACTCTACTCTCTTCTCGCCCCTTCGTTGTCCTCATCGCCTCGTTTTCCGCGGCGAATCAATGGCAAAGCTGCCGCGCCGGTCAGCCTCCATTGATGCCTCACGGGCGGCGCAGTGAAGGCTGGGCGACGCGTGCCTCGGCCGCCATGCAATCACGCCACGCGTAACGCGCCGGCCAAGCCTACCACGCGGCGTCTCCGCCTATAAAAGCCGACTGCAAGCGCGCCGGAGAGACTCACCCCGATCATCCACCGACGACGCGCTCATTTCTTCCCCTTTCCTCCTCTCGCCGTCACCAGTTGAGAAAGCATGGCCGAGCGTTTCTCAGGCGACGGCGCGGCGGCGAATGGATTCGAACGCCGTCATCTGCACGAGGACGAGGCTCGCCTCCTTTTCGAGGCCGAGTATCCGGTCCCGCCGGACATGCGGGTGCCCGGGGCGTGGAGGATCAGCGCCGGCGGCGTGCCGGTGCCCCCGGTACCCATCGGTGCGGCGCGGCGTGCGGAGATCGCACGCATCCGCTCGTCCCTGCCGCGTGCGGCGAGTGAGGGGCCCCGGTACGTCCCCGACAGCCCAATCTGGGAGCCGTACTTCCGCCGCCGGCACGACGAGCAGCTCGAGGCACCAACGGCATCGTGCCCTCCGGCAGGTTCAACGCCGCCGGCCGGCGTCGGTGGTGGGGCGTGCCCGGGCGCACGTTGGAGTCTGTCCTCGAGTACATCGAGGGCGGCAACGCGCCGTGCCTCGAGTACCCCGCTCCCCCGTCCTTCTCACGCCGCCGGGAAGCTCCTGGAGGCCGAGGCGCATGGAGAACGGGGTGTCCTCCTCCTCGTCCGGCGGCTCTCCCTGCCTCCACCTCCGCCCCGTCAAGCCGAAGCCCCAGGACACGCCTGTCAGCGCGTGTACCCGCAGCTCCGGCGCCCTCGTCGAGCCCAAGGTGGAGTCCAGCTCCCCTTGGAGTACGAGGAGATAGCCCGGCGCGGCTTCTCCGACGAGGACGCCGTGCGGTGGTCGCGCGACGACTACCTGCTCGAGGAGATGGTCCGGCAGCGCCGGGCCCTGGAGGAGATCGCCGCCCGCTAACGTGGGCGCGAGGACTAGGACGGTATCGTCGTCCTCGATAGCGACAACGACGACGCCCCCGGACGGTCCAACCCGTCGCGCCAATCGGGGGAGGGATGCAGCAGGGACGGCGGAGGCGTAGGCGGGGGCGACGACGGCGGTGACTACACGCGGTTCTACAGCCTCCTCGGCATGTAGAACCGCGTGGGCGGGCGGCGAGGGAGACGTCGGGGGTAGCCCGCGGTAGTTTTTTTTTTTGTAAAATATGTTTAAATTTGAACGAACTCGCCCGTGTTTGCGTTGTGTTTGCGCCGAATTTGAACATTTTAAAAACCCGTGAGGGGCCGCGACTGGGGGGCATCATGCCCCCAGTGCGCGGTTTAGCGCCGGTGCGCCCCCATGGGGCGATTTGTTGCCCCTCCTGGGGGGCCAACGGCTAGAGATGCCCTAAATAGTGAGAGATCGGTCTGGCTTCACAGACATATTTGACATACGAGCGGCCGGAATGATTTTGTTACGGACGCCTCTAACCGGCGGCCAGCTACCCACTAGCACTCCATGGTGGCCAGCCGAAAAAGATATGTTTTTGTCTTCCTGACTCATATTAGAAAAAGTAAACATGTGTGGACATATTTGAAGAGGATAAACAATTGTAAAACATCCATGTGAACAGATGTGAACGTATTTAATTTGTGTTTTCAGTTTTTAAAAAACTCATAACTTTCAAACCGCGCATCGAAATTAAGATCCGTTTTCACTTTTGAAATCCTCGTGGCGTGCCCTTCGAAACTAAATCCCGCATGGCTATGTTTTGACGGAAAAAAATTGTGCAATTTTCTCCTTGTTTTGTGGAACTGCCTAGCCGTTGGTGTGCAACTACCTGACAGGGATGTGCAACTTTTGTCCAATACCGTAAACATGCAGATTTCAATGATGGTGCAAAACTAACTCCTTCCAATGAGATGTGCAACTTCGTCTGTTACACAGGCCAACTGCATAGTAGTTGATCCGTAACTTTTTCCTGCCCGTGGATGTGCTTCACTATTTGCTGCATCGGCCAACAACCTAACAGTGGATGTGCAACTTCGTATACTGCCACGGCCAACTATCTAACTGTGATTTGCAACTTTCTCACGTACCCCATGGATGTGTAGTTTTCCTGCTAGCACACGGCCCAAACCACCCCCTAGTGAGCTTTGCAACTTTAGTATTCTGTTTATATGTAACTTTTTACCATTCAACTGTCACTGCATGTGAGATGTGCAACTTCGTATATTGCCCCTGGCCAACTACCTAGCAGACTATGTGCAACTTTGTTTGTTGGTCCCGCCAACTGAAAATACAGGTCCACAATTAGAGAGCGTAGGGAGTTGCACATTGACTAATAGGCAGTTGGCCTGAACAATAGACTAAGTTGCACATATCACTTGCAGGGGAGGTGGGGGTAGGGTGTGGCAATAGTGAAAAACTACGCATCCACGAGTAGGGAGGAGGGTTGCACAACGACTACTAGGTAGTTGGTCGGGACAGTAGACTAGTTGCACCATATAACATGAAAGTTGGCATCGAAAAAATTTCGTCGAAACATACCCATGTGGGATCTAGTTTCAAAGATCTCGTCACGAGAAATCCAACCGTGAAAACGGATCCAAATTTCGACGCATGGTTTGAAAGATATAACTTTTTAAAAATTTGAAAAACCCGAAATAAATAGACATGAATCTGTTTTTCGTCACATGTGACAAGTCTGATCGCATTTAATGCTAATAGTCACATGCACTAGCAGATAATACATGCATGTATGCATGCGAGTGACAAAGCGGCCGCTCGTTCTCTCCAACAAACGCGCGTGCATTTTTAAGATTTCAGGTTTTCTTACATGCGAGCGCATAACGTGTCCTTGTCGACAAGTACAGATGCGCAATTACCTACGGAACATGTGTTGATGCGTTCGTCTCTTCACGTTAAACAGAGAATACACACGCATGCAGGGGCACCTAAATGAGGAATCAATGGACCAATGGAGCCATGCGCATATATATATTGTTAGATTTTCTATTTTTACAAATATTATTAGAGCATCTACAATCGGACGCTTCAAACTGAGTTCAAACACCCCGACGGACAGATCGGTCAAAGAAAAAAAATGATACACCCGGCATGTGACGGCCTCCTCCTCTCGAGTTGTCGTTGCAAGCGGAATGATTATGGCATCATGCATGATGAGCACCAGCGGCATCACTCGCAAGTTAGACGAACTGAGACCACTTGACAAAGAAAATTAAACGGAATCAGCCGAGCGTACGATCGCTCTCTTCTTTCTCTGTATGTGAAGAAAAGAAAAAGGATATGTGTCCGCTGTGTTCCCAGGGAGTGAGAAAAGGCGGGCGGGGCGACCATTGACGTGGTTCTCCCGGCTCGGTTGGCGCCGCCCGACCTTTGGTGCATCGCCAGGGGAAGGCAACGCCGTGGACCGGATCGGCATCGGCGGCCAGCAAAGACCGGCGACATCCACATGCGCCGCGTCACCGGGTCAGTCCCGTGGTAGAATCATGCTGCTGCCGCTTTGATCATTCGCACGTCGCCACCCGCCTGCCTCTTTCCCTTCTTTCACCGGGAACGAAATCGTGGCTCACACACAAAGTTCGCCGGCCTAATTTATTCCGCAGCGCTAGATCTGACTTCCGTTTCTCATACGGATTTTTGCCCATCCCTCAGACGCTACTGCACTGGAGGGTTCTCCTTCCGCATCGTTGCGTGGCTGCTTTGATTGCAGGCTTTTGTATTTTAGAATATCTACAGCCAGACGCTTCAAATCCGTCCTATAAATTTGGATGGATGGCTTGGTCATTGACTGGTCACGAAAATGTGAACTAGACGATCGCCTTAAACAGGTCTTAAATGCCCAGGCTGATCGCACCCGTCAGGTCGAGCCAAAATATGGGATGGACATGGGGCGCCTGGTCGCGTCTGTCAGGTCGGACTGGCGCTAGAGTCCCAGACGAAAACAGTCCGGAACCCGGCGGTTTGAAGCTCTTCTCCTCAATCGGATCGATGTCGCCGCGCGTGGCGCGGCTCCGACGGGCCACATGTACCTAGGCCGGCTATTTAAGCCTGCCGCCAGAACTGAACGCTACCCTCCATATTTTCCTCCTCCCGTTCGCTGCCGCCGCCACATTCCACTCCCCGTCTGCCACAACTAGTAGACATGCCCTCACGATGTCGAATGAGGAGCTACCCATTTCTAACGTCGGAGCGCTAGCTACAGTTCCTTGAGCAGATCTAGACAAGGCGCAAGTCCGGATCACCGTGGGGCTATCTTCAGATGCATTGGAAACAGACGAGGAGGAGGAGTCGGGGGAGGATGTGGGGAACGCTGGGGACGAGGATCTGTAGACGGAGCAGCAGGCCATCCTCGACTCCCTCTGCTTGGAGTCGGCTGCGGAGGCTAGACGCCATTGTCGGCAGGAGATGGAGGAGGAGAAGATGTTCGCCTACATGTATGGGGACAAGGAGGAGGAGCCAGAGCCCTCCTACGCACCCGTCCACCCGGCATCAACGTCGTAGATATCTCCGATGACGAAGATTAGTTAGGGTAGTAAATAAATAGAATTTTTGCTTGCTTTGTCTGGATCTAGGGTTAAAATACAAGGGACTTAAATATGGAGTAGCAATTTTAAGGCGTGGTCGATCACTGTCCATATAGACGCATCCGGTCGCGTCCACAAGTGTTTGAGAGACCGAATTTGCCAAGTCCAACTATAAATGCTATTACCCACAGTGATCGAGCCCGATAGGGCAAATTTCTAATCCCAGCCGCCCAAACTTCCCTGCTCAAGGAATACCGTACTTTCAACTCGTGAGATCCCCACCGCCACCGCCCCAATATAATATTTTGAATTCATATGAGAAATTCTAAGAACCACAGGTTACTCGATGACTCGAATCTGGGTAAGCTAGACAGCTTCGTGCTATACTAACCAACAAGGTGACACCCAGTTCACAGATCTTCAATCTTCAGTGTACACCCGGTTGTGGCAAACATCGTCGACAGTATTGCACGAGTAGACGGTGACCTGCCGTGGGAAAGGACAACCCCGAAAGAGATCCAAGCTAGGGAGAGGACAGCCACCACGTCATGCCCAGTGCTCGAATCTAGAAAGAAAAAAATATGAACGGTCAATCTCGCGCTGTCGTGCAAATTCATTTTTCAAGTGCCATTGACAAAGTTAGCCGTCAAGCAACAGCTTAGCTTCGCCGAGAAATACGATTCATAATCTCTTGGCTGGCTGTCTCGATATTTTTCGTACTAGGAAACTAATTCAATCATTGTTCAAAAAAGAAAAAGAAAAACTAGTTCAATCAGTTTTATATGCGTTTTTTATTTAGGAAGAGAAAATGTGTCCCCAGACACTTTGACACAACATGTTTCCACAAGACTTTCGTGACAACTCCGATGTGTTTGCATTAATTTATGAGGACGGCAAATATGAATATGAATGAGATGGTAGTTGTTACAACTTCCAGATTGCCTGTATTATACTGGCGGATACGTGTAGACAAAATTCCATGCATCTTGGCAAATGCTCTTGTTTTATACGTGTAGAAATTATCCGTTCCATCCAACTCACATCCAAGTATCTTTTCTCCTCTTCTAGAATATACGCTGGAGAATTATTGGCCTATCTTTTTTTAAATAAAGTGAACATGAGGAACACTAGAAGATTGTGATTTCCCAATCCGTGTGAGTGGGCAGTTGAATCACACATGCTTTTATCTTTCTTTTTTCTCACTATTACAGTACTATTTAGGTTTGTCATGTGATTAGGTTAGGTCAACGTCCAACGTGCAGGCACCCTATCATTTTGAACATTTTCATCAACGGCCACAAATCCGCATCTGCTTTTGGCTCGTACACTCGTTTTCATAATACTAACATAATTTTCATCGACAAAGTAAAAGACACTTTAGCGGATTTATTTAATTTTTTTCGTTTCACATAAAAAGAAAAATTCCAAGAACAACATAAATATGAAGCTATTTTTTCTGGAACATTGAGAGAATTTTTTTTTCTTCGGATGATTTTTTTTCTCTCTACATGATTCATTCGAAGCAACACATTTTCCAGGTTTCTTCTCCACAGGTTTTCATCTTGCATCTAGAAACTTTACATCCCCAAAGGTTAAAAAGGGTAAAGCTAATGTTAGCCAAAGGTAAAAAAGAAAAGGCTAATCCATTCACTAATGACTGATCAAACGGAGGGCATGGTCTCCTGGCGAAGCACGGCGAGATCGGACAGCCCGAAGGACTCGTCGCCGAAGCCAAACAGGCAGGCGTCGAAGCCGTCGTCGCCCCACTCGGCTGCGGCCGCAGCAGCCGGCACGGCGGCCTCCGGCGAGTAGGCAACGCCGCCGAAGGCGTAGGCGCCCTCAATCTCGTCCTCGAAGCTCCATATCTGCTCCCCGAACACGCGGGCGGGCTCCTCTGGTTCCCAGCCCCCAGCGTCGTCCGACGAGGAGGACGCCCCGGCGGCCGGCGGCAGGCCAAGCTCGTCGTCCGAGGCCTCGAGCAGGAACCCTAGCTCTGGCTGCGGCGGCGTCAGGTCGTCGGCGCATATCTCCTCCTCAAGGCTCCGCATGACGGAGGCCAGGTCGCCGGCCGCCGCGGCGTCGGTGTCGTCGTCGAGCAGGTCCAGCAGGTCCTCCGGCCGCATCCTCTTGGCGGCCTCCGCCTCCGCCTCAAGGCCGGCATCCCTGGCCCTCTTGTTGTTGCCGGCATACGCAGGGACGGAGCCAGGATTTGAACATAGGGGGGGCAAAAAAAAATTCCTCTAGTGTAGAGACTCGTAAAAAAAATAGAAGAGACAGCCTTGTTAACGAACTAAATCTTCGTCAAAACATATTCTGCTGTGAGCAAGTTGAATTTTTATCAAAAGTTACCATCAGCCAAATGCCAAAGCAATTCACGTGTGAATGAACTAAATCTTTCTACTATTGGATGGGATAAACAATGCAAAAGCTTGTCCGATGGGTACAGCCGTACAGGGATGTGTCCCCAATCTTTTACTTTTATACAGTTACTACCATTCGACTTGTGTAGTTCTGAAGGCATCCATTAATCTGATTTAGAAACATAAGCAAGGACAAACCAATGAGTGAGAAATAGACTAACCTAACCCTTTCCTTGGTCGCCGCTTCTCTCCACTGGTTGCGCGGCCGGCCGGCCGCGCGTCCGCGCAAGATGGCCCTCGTTCACGTTAGACGCTATCTCGTCTAAGCAAGGATTGTCTGCTCAAATTGAAACGGCGCTGGTCATGAACTGCCCTAGAGCTCAGAAACGGCGCTGGTCATGGACTCAGATTGAAACGGCGCTGGTCAGGAACTACCCTAGACAGCTAGACCTTGGCGACAGGCATCGGACGATGGAAAATCAAACGATCTGACCGTCTCCCTTCGCGCTGGGCTACTTCCTGCGGGGTGTTAAAAGATGGGCTTTGTGATTTAGTTGGGCTTCAGGTGGTCAGGGGGGGCGATATTAGCTAAATATCCACTTTTTTCTACCGACCTGCTACTCGCTACCGAGTAAAATGAGATCGTTAGGGGGGGTCTAGCCCCCCCTCGCCCCCCCTTGGATTCGTCCCTGGGCATACGAACTCGGCAACAACAGAGACGAGGAGGAGCTCTCCATGGCCGATGCACACACTATTCTTCCTTCTCTTTCCCTTTGCTTCGGGTGCAGCGGTCGTGAAGCGCACAGGCATATAAATAGTGAGGAGATCGGTCTGTCTTGAAAACATAATTGACATACGAGCGGCCGGAATGATTTTCTTACAGGCGAGCGCATAACATGTCCTTGTCGACAAGTACAAGCGTGCAATTACCTATGGAACATGTGTTGATGCGTTCGTCTCTTCACGTTAAACAAACAATAGACGCGCATGCAGGGGCACCTCAATGAGGAACCAATGGACCAATGGAGCCATGCGCATACAGATATCATTAGGTTTTCATTTCCTACAAATATTGATAGAGCATCTACAGTCGGGCGTTTCAAACCAAGTCCAAATGCCGGAGTGGATGGACCGGTCAAAAAAATTATATACCTGGACGTCTCAAACCGGGCTCAAACACCTGGGCTGGCGGGCGCCCCTAATACCTAGCCCGAATCTTGGGAGATATGAAGGAGTCCCGGGTGCGTCTGCCATGTCGGACTTATGTTGGGGTCCCATACGAAATCACTCGGAATACAAACTTTCTGACGGGGCGTCTCCTTCAAGGGGTGTGAATGTCGCGTGGCGCCGCTCCAGCTAGCCGCCAGAAGGCCAAAGTCCGGCTATTTATGCCGGACGACGACTTCCAGCCCTAGCCACATCCACTTGACCACTTCCCTCCATCTCTGCATCGCAAGCCCGAGCCGGATCCGCTTCCCTCCCTCTCCGCTCGCCGTCCGTCGAGAGCCATGGCCCAACAGGAGGTGACCACCTACTCTATGCTAATGCAAGAGCGGGCCTTCAGCTGCTCGAGGAGATTCAGGCTACGCACGAAGCCCGAATCGCAGTCGGCCTGCCTTCGGACTCCTCGGAACCGGAGAAGGAGGAGGAAGCGAAGCAGCAGCCGACGGCGAAGCAGGACCCCTACCCATGGAGGGGGCGGGCCGGAGGAGGAGACGGAGCCAGCTGCGGGCTTCGCCATGGAGGAAGCCCTGACAGAGTTCAAGGTCACCCAAACGAAGGAGATGGTGCAGCAAGCCGCCATCCTAGAGTCCATCAAGTTGAAGGCCGCGATGAGGGCCAACCTGCGCTTCCTCCACCAACAAAGGGCGGAGGTCGACAAAATCTTCACGTCTACTGAGTCCAGCGATGAGCCAGAGTTGCGGTAGGCGGCCATCTACCCAGAGCCCGGCAGAGAGATTGTGGACATCTCCTCCGATGATGAGTAGTGTAGGATAGGACATCTCCTCCGATGGTATGTAATTTTTATTTTTCATGGTTTATATGGATTTGAGGTATCAACTATGAGGTATTTGGATGCAGCGACGAAATTTCAGGTCCGTCCGGTCACTATGTACATGCTCTTTGATTGTCAAGCCTATATTGAAATTAACAAATCTAGCCCTTGTTTAAACCTTTAGCACAAAATAAACCGGATAAAAAACACAAAATGGCCCACTTTGCATGACGCGGGGACTAGGACGCCATGCTAGATAGCGCGACACTTTTGACGAAGGTCACTCTCGCGCCATTTAGCATGGCGCCCCAGCCCAGAATGTCGTGATACCTAGCATGGTGCCGGATTTTGTTTGGATCTAGGCCATTCTTGCTAATGTTTCAAAAGAGGGTTAGTTGTGTTCGTATTCACCAGGCCTCTGGCTAGAACCGAGGAACAGACTAAAGAAAACCTGCAAGCAGCAAAGAAAGAAAAGCTTGAGAGCCAGGCAGCTATGAATCCGATAACGACTTTGGCGGAGGACCATCTCTCTTGATGTGTTGCGCGTACCTGCCGCGGCATCGATCTTTCAGATGCGATCCGTTTCGAAAAGATTAAAATAATCTTTCAGATGCGGCAACCAAGGTATCTGTGTCTCTTTTCTGGCCTTTAATTCCCACACCCGGCATGGTCAACACCGGATTCGCTTGGGCAAATTGGCCTGGAGTTCAGAGCATACACATGGGCACACATGGCCGCGCAACAGCTTATCTGTACCTAAAACTGGATCATCGGAAGAAAGTTGCGTGTGAATTGCCCGGCAGCTTCCGGATGAAGCCGCAGCAAGTTCCAAGATATGGAGGAAGAAAAAAGATATATATGCAGCCACGCTGGCAGTGAGATAATGCTACGGCTTTCTACGGAAGCTTAATTAGCACTAGCTTGTACTGATTGAGCTTGAGAGGAAAGCCAAACTGGCTAAGCTAAGAAAATCATTGTGTTGAACACATCTTTATTAAAAGACTGGATGAGCTAAGCCAACTTGTATCACTGAATCCACCATTGCGGATGCTCTGCTTTTCACGGCAGAAATCAAGGGGAAATTTAGTGGTCAGATGACGCGTCATCATCATGAACAAGAACGGTAGCAGCAAATGGCAATGGATCAACACATGGATGTCAAGTGTGGCAGTCAGAGTTTGATAGGGCCGAATGTTTGCAATGATGAGTAGGCTGGGCCCAAAATCATGGAATCGCCCATAATCTCTGGTCGGGCACTAGTGCTTCTCTCACGCTCACACATGTAGGCACACAAGCTGCTCCCCCCTCATCCGTACGTACTCACTCAAGCACAAGCAGCACGCCAGCACTATCTAGCCTTTTCTTCTAACAAAAGAGGTGATTTTTGTTGAGTCAATGTACATCATCAGGGATACAAACACACTAAGCACACGGTCACCAATCCAATGCATAGACACAAAAAAAAAATCACAACCGGCAAAGAGCAAAGTCATACGAAATCAGACTACCTAAGTGGAGGAGAAAACAAAATAAATCGAAGCGATCAAAACAACAAACGACGAGCTAAAATAATGTCCATCCGTACCAATCACCTTTTGCCATCACAAAGACAACGAAAAAGATTCTTCAACAACAACACTTTCGGGAAGGAACGATGCTCAAGCGCCGTTGTTGCCGGATCCAACCATTAAAAGTCAAATCCTATGCTTTTACCCTAAAGATAAAGTCCAGCAAATCCAGAATTACCTTCAACAAGTTAACGGCACAAAAGCACTGCATTGCCGGGTATAACCTGTTGGGTCGGACCTAGGGTTTTCATCCAAAGCTCCAAACTGGATACTCGATAAGCGCCATCAAATCAAAATCATCATGTGTTGTCGCCACCATTATTTGCAATGGCATCTTCTACATGCGTAGCACGGAGATACCACACAAGTGATGGCCATGTCACAGAAGTAGGTAGTCAAGATGCAACAAGTGTCAGTAACCACCAAAGGTCCAAAACGGCGCCCGTCGCACATGAGATGAGGATTGGCGAGTGACGAAGGTCATCGGTGCCGCCGGACACACGGGAGTCCTGCGCCATCCACATGCTCTGTCGTCCTCGTATGTGACTATAAAATTGGTCGTCTAAACATACTCATTATTGTCGTCAGATGTAAAGGTCCAAGACCCTCTAACATGTTGCGGCGACCACCTAGCAGTGCAGGACCATGATGCCATACGTGCGCCCAAGTGAAGGACCGCCTCGTTGGGATGCAGAAGGTCGTTGATGCCGCCCGTCTACATGTTGGGGAACGTACCAGAAATTCAAAATTTTCTACGCATCACCAAGATCAATCTATGGAGTAATCTGGCAACGAGGGGAAGGAGAGTGCATCTACATACCCTTGTCGATCGCTAAGCGGAAGCGTTCAAGTGAACGGGGTTGATGGAGTCGTACTCGTCGTGATCCAAATCACCGATGATCCTAGTGCCGAACGGACGGCACCTCCGTGTTCAACACACGTATAGCCCGGTGACGTCTCCTATGCCTTGATCCAACAAGGGGAAAAGGAGAGGTTGGGGGAGACTCCATCCAGCAGCAGCACGACGGCGTGATGGTGGAGGAGGAGCGGGGACTCCAGCAGGGCTTCGCCAAGCACAACGAGAGACGACGAGGGAGAGGGGTAGGGCTGCGCCAACAGGGAGAGCAAATCACATGTGTTGGGCAGCCCCAAACCTCAAGTATATATAGGGGAAGGGGAGGGGCTGCGCCCCCACCTAGGGTTCCCTCCCTAGGGGTGGCGGCAGCCCCCAGATCCCATCTGGGTGGCGGCCACAAGGGGGAGAGGGGGAGGCGCACCTGGGGTAGGCCTTAGGGCCCATCTGCCCTAGGGTTTGCCCCCTTCCCCTCTTGGAGGCGCCTTGGGCCTTGGTGGGGGGCGCACCAGCCCACCTGGGGCTGGTCCCCTCCCATACTTGGCCCATGCAGCCCTCCGGGGCTGGTGGCCCCACTTGGTGGACCACCGGGACCCTCTCGGTGGTCCCGGTACATTACCGATAAAACGCGAAACTTTTCCGGCGACCAAAACAGGACTTCTCATATATAAATCTTTACCTCCGGACCATTCCGGAACTCCTCGTGACGTCCGGGATCTCATCCGGGACTCCGAACAACATTCGGTAACCACGTATATCTATTCCCTATAACCCTAGCGTCATCGAACCTTAAGTGTGTAGACCGTACGGGTTCGGGAACCATGCAGACATGACCGAGACAACTCTCTGGTCAATAACCAACAGCGGGATCTAGATACCCATGTTGGCTCCCACATGTTCCACGATGATATCATTGGATGAACCACGATGTCAAGGATTCAATCAATCCCGTATACAATTCTCTTTGTCTAGCGGTACGATACTTGCCCGAGATTCGATCATCGGTATCCCGATACCTTGTTCAATCTCGTTACCGGCAAGTCTCTTTACTCGTTCCGTAACACATCATCCCGTGATCAACTCCTTGGTCACATTGTGCACATTATGATGATGTCCTACCGAGTGGGCCCAGAGATACCTCTCCGTTACACGGAGTGACAAATCCCAGTCTCGATTCGTGCCAACCCAACAGACACTTTCGGAGATACCTGTAGTGTACCTTTATAGCCACCCAGTTACGTTGTGACATTTGGCACACCCAAAGCACTCCTACGGTATCCGGGAGTTGCACAATCTCATGGTCTAAGGAAATGACACTTG